GGGTAGACGCGTGGCACATCGTTTTGAAATCTAAGTGAAGCTAATATTAGATTGGCCTATTGCCGATTCGCTGAATCTTAAAAAGGCTTTCAAAGCGAGAGGTTTTCCATTGCCATAAAAAAACAGGAAACGTACTTTCGATCAGGGTCGAATGTCAGGCCCGCTATACCTTTTCCCATTGTATTAACAAAAAGCATTTGAATACAAATGAAATGTGACCATGCTGTCGAAGTTGAACTCCTGTTTAGCTCAATGTGCTAAAATAGAGTCTCTTAAACTCATTTAAAGTTAACGACAGTCGTATGCATAATCGGATCGTGAAAGAAATAATTTACGTGGAACCCCCCCCCAGGAAAAAAAACCATGACATTTTAAGGCCGCGAAGCATTTCGGAGAACGAGAAGTGACACGTAAAACTCGCTGTGTGCTATTCTTAGCAGACATTCATGATGTATGTGTGTCTTCATGCGCTTCATGTCTGCTCTCGTCAATTTGTGATGCCGTACCAAAAAAATCTCAATTCGACACGTTGGATTCTCCCCAAACGATTCGCGTTAAGGCCAAAAAAAAAGTCTCCGGTTTCTGGTATGCGCGCGCGTCGCCGTAGCCATGCGCGTCGGCAAAATGAATTTTTTTTTTTAATACAAGATGATGTCTCAAAACCGCCAAACTCACTGGTTTGACTGGAATCCTGCTGCTGCACAATTTTAACGTGTTTTTAGATGGGGTTATGATCGAGAATAAGCTTTATGTGGCCTCTCTGGACTCCCATATATTTGCACTATGTTTAGTCGGGCACCATTTGCAGTCATCAGCCGAAATTTGAAGCCCCCCCCCCCAAAAAAAAAAAAACAGGTAAAAAAAAAAAGCCGCGTCGCCGCACCACTTTTGGGGCAAGCTCCATACCAGAAACCGGAGACTTTTTTGGGGGGCCTAATCCATTCTTTTTCCCCACTGTGATCGATCAAAAAAATGTTGCAGTAGATTATGTATGGCGCCACAAACTCACAGTGGGAGAATTACACTTGTCCCAACCTCCCTGATGTGAGAACTGTCATGTGTTAGACTATTTTTGAGTGGTTTGAAAGTGTGAGAGCAGCAAGTTACAACAACATGCTGCCAGTTATCATGTCCGGATACGATTGTTTTCATCATGCAGGTGGATAAGTTCCCGGCGGTTGTTTTAATGCTAAAGACCGACAATGTATTGTAACCTCAACAGGTGCAAGAACATTTTATGTCTTTTGTATTGCCATCTTTGGGTGCATTTCCTTGACATTGATTATTTAGAAGTTATGTCTGCCTCTCTATTTTTTTTATTGTGAAGAACAAAAGCAACTCACCTGGCAGCACCCCAGGGCTTTCTTTCTCTTTCCTCAAAGGCTGACACACGTTGAGGATGAATAGCTTCGTATAATGTGAGTCATTAGTCGATTTTGCTGTAACCTCACCTGAATAAATGAATAAAAAAAGATTTTGCCAATAGCCGAATGTTTCGCCATTATGTTGTAAAAGCAACCTACGTGTACGCCATGCAGGCTACCTGACTGAGTCGAGTTTTGGTCATATTTTCAAAAATCAGAATTGTTTGTTAAACACTGCTCAAGCGAGATCATACTAGATTATCATCTTGTTCCTTGACTACTCAGTGTGTAAGAACTAGAAGGCAACTCGTCTTAATAATTTTTCTTTTTGATATGAGGACGAACCATGACAGTTCCCTATGCCGTGGCTGATTTATAATTTGCAATTTTGAAATCACGAGTGAAAATCTAAAAGAATGGCAGTCCCTTGTGAAAAATTGTGGAGAAAATATCAATCGATATGTGATGATCAGCAACTCTCTTTTTGGCCCTTAGGAAAGGTGATGAAACAGGTCATTGTCATAAATCAACATTACAACTCAAAAGCCACCTCATGTGTACAAAATAATAATGAAAAGATATTCTAATTAAAATTCCCCCTTTCGCTTCTGGCCCTACATTCTACTTAAAAAAAATGTGTACATTGCTTTTCTGTAATTGCAATGTATTCGGCATATTGTTTAGAGTCCGAGAGACAATGTGATGGTAGCTTGGCGCATTTCTGTTTATGTGAAATGACATTGACCATTTCAATGGATGACGTATTGCAATGACCACAGCTGTATTGTATATATACAACGTTTTGTGGATAAACTATCCTCTAACACATTGGAATGCAATTGGTACGTGTTGTAGGCTATTTGGCTTTAAAATGTATTAAGAAGTCAGTCAGTCAAGACAGGCTTTGAATAGGTTATTAATGATCAATGAAAATATCCGTGTCGCTGTTCCTGTCTGTTTACTTGTCATCGTGAATTTTCTTCTGTCCTCTTTCACGTTTTGCAACCTCGCCTCTTTCTTTTGTTAATAACTCCGTGTCCTTTATGGGAAATGTCTAGCATGTTTACAGTTCGGCTGCACCAATCTCAAATGTTTGCAAGTGTTTACAACAATTACAAACAATCTGGGCTTTGTAGTAAATTGCAGCGCTCTAAATATTTCATGTGCCTCCTCATAATTCAAATGAATGGTCCATTTGAGTTAAAACAAATGGTCCATTTGAGATAAAACAAATGGTACGTTCTTTACTTTTCAATGTTTGCAGTGCAGGAAAGCAAACTTTTAACAAAAATATCGTTATTTCGCGTAAAGATATACGACAGAGCTCGCAAAAACAAAAACTGTAATTTCCAGAATAGTGGATTTTTATGCAACTTGAATAGCTATTTACCAAATGTACACGATTAGGCCAAAAAAAAAAGTCTCCGGTTTCTGGTATGCGCGCGCGTCGCCGTAGCCATGCGCGTCGGCAAAATGAAAAAGTTTTTTTTCAATGAAAGATGATGTCTCAAAACCGCCAAACTCACTGGTTTGACTGGAATCCTGCTGCTGCACAATTTTAACGTGTTTTTAGATGGGGTTATGATCGAGAATAAGCTTTATGTGGCCTCTCTGGATATATTTGCACTAAGTTTAGTCGGGCACCATTTGCAGTCATCAGCCGACATTTGAAGCCAAAAAAAAAAAAAAAACCAGGTAAAAAAAAAAAAAAAGCCGCGTCGCCGCACCACTTTTGGGCAAGCTCCATACCAGAAACCGGAGACTTTTTGTTTTGGCCTTAGACAGTTTGTACAGAATGTGTCAAGAGAGAGGGCGGCCGTTTAAGATCAAATCAAACTATTAAAATTCGAAAGTACAAGCGTCTTTTTTTCATGTTTTAACATCACTAAAACACGGGATGCTTTGCAGGCCTACATGTTTTTGACTTATCCTTCATGCGATTTGGGAAATTACTTTAATCGATTTCAAATAAAGCACATTTCGTTCCAATTAAAGATTGGATTCGAACATCTCTAAAAAGTAGTGGAAAAAACATTATTCTCGTCTTTGGGAAGTTTTACAAGTCCATATTCACATTGATTTTGACTTTAGGCATGAATCGAACCAGAAGCCGACAGTTGCCGCTCATGATGATTCTCTGGAACATTTAAATTATGGATGAGTGTCGGATGAATATAAATGTTCTTCTTGAAATTCACACCTGCAGCAAAGCCGGATAAAACTCACCAAAGGCTCACAGGCACCAGACTTAAAAGAAGAGCAGTTCACTGACCAGCTCGCTGTTTCACAATAAAAATGCCTTGAAGAGAGAAATGAAATGCCACTGTCTATAATTGCTTTGCTCAATGTTGAGCAATGATATTCAATATTTATGGAATTGTTGAAGAGACATTCAGTGCCAGTGGATAATCCCTTGTGTGCCTCATGTTCGATCCCACGTGTATTTGGCAACAAAAGGATATGAAACCTACGAGTTTTGGATTACATTTTAATTTCCGATTTAACGTCCCATCTAAATAATGGACCCGCTGGGATAAAGTTGGATTGATTGGTTACGGATTCTCGGTCTGATCTGGTCAGACTACTCAAGCACCGACAAACATGCCGAAATATGCTCTCAGATACTGTGCAATAACAAATTTATTAAATCGGCAATTTCAGTCAGATTAGAGCAAATGGAAATCGTGTAAGTTGATATGAAAACATAATATCATTTGCAAGCACACGGGACTTCCAGGCACCTGTATTGGAACAACAGCGTGTATGTATATGGTTTCTTACATAGGTTTGCCGAAACAATTGTGATGACGGGATGTTGTGAAAGGAAATAAAGGAATGTCAGTGAAATTGGCTTTAGACGTTTATTCTTGATGACAGGCTCCTGAAAAATTTGACCCTATCTCCTCCGATCGATGAATATTATACATTAACATTTGACTGAAAATATAAAGGATCTCCTTGAAGACGTTCATATTAATGTTTTTGTGTAAAGTCCGACCAATCATATTTGTCAGATTGTACAATTTACCCTAAAGGGGGGGGGGGGCGAATCCGCCCCCGCCCTCAATTTTTTCCGCGATAGCCTCGAATTTTTTTTTTTCGCGACACCAGCTGTTATGACTTTTTAGCCTCGAGCCTTGCGCATCTTTTGACACCAAAAACATAAAATCACTTACAAAAATTTTACGGCGCTACGCGCCGAGAAAACTGAATTTGCCCATATACGTAGTGTACACAGAGGCAGAATTACCATTCGTGCATATGAATAATTAATTAACCATAATTCCAAAACTCTTTTAGTCATGAAATTTCTTGGGTATGTTTATGAAGAGTTTTTTATGCATAAGCCGAGTTTCACAATTTTTTGTCACTCCATGGCTAAGATCTTGGGGGGGGGGGGGGGGGGGGGGAGGGGGAGGCGGCGGAAATGGTCAAAATAACCCGGCCCTTTTAGGGAAGCATTTCAATTCACAGATCGTCTTGATAAAAGTGCATACCTTCACGGCTTAAACGGGGCAGAACACAGCGACAATTAAACTACATGAGGATGTCTGCGTTGGCTTAAATTTCCAGACAATCATCGGGGGGTTCCCATCATGCATGCACGCGGGCAGACTGGCGTGGCTAATTGGTCTCATGACCCAATACCATATTTTTTATTTTCGACTGGGAAGCTTTGCTTAATGTACCGCGGGAGGAAATACCCGCGTTGTGATTTGAAGCACGATTTCGGACCCTGAGGGCGTCAACCGGGCCAGGTAAACATGTCTGGTGAGTATCCGAACTATCACCATGATCGAGGCGTGATATATGAAAACAAAAAGTTGCCAAACTAATTTCAGGGAAAAAAACACCCCAGTCTTATCCTTAATTTGATACCGAGGTGTGATGGCTTAATTGTCATGAAATACATTGGTGTGAGTTTAGTGATTAATTATGAACTGAGAACGCTTACCTTGCGTGATGGAATGTAGATACATGTGGATGGATCATGCAGTTACTCCTACTTATACTTGTTCTTTGCACGAAACTGCTACATCGGAACAAACACGAGAATTTATTTTACATATGAAAATGGCGTCCTTATGGCCGTACAGTGATTGGCTATTGCGTATTATGCCCATTGAAGTGTAGCCAAGCTTGCAAGCATGTCGTCTTTCTAAAACGGAACAGTGGAAAAATGTAATGCGCTCTTAGTTCTGTTTCGCTATTTTTAAACAAATGCACATTTTATTTGTTTGTTTTGCATAACAAAAAATAATACCCGTCCTTACTTTGTGTGCTGCTCTGCTCTTACGTAAGGGAATAAATTTAAAGAACCATTCATAAATACCTAAGACAGTTTACCCATTATTATTCGTCGAGAGCCCCTCACGTGGCCGGTTTTAAACGGTTAATAAAGACATTGCTGGCTGGTCTTAAACACTTTTCCAGCGTCACATGAAATTTGGACTCGTATGAAATCCAGTGCCATCACCGTTTTATTGATTGAACGTTCACAATCCTATACGGGTGCGTACGTAGGCATGCGCAATACTACCAGTGAGTCAGTATTTCATAGCCCTAAATTCACACTACACCGTAGTCTGGTTCTCAGACCAAAAGATTCTGACTATTCCTGATGAATAAGGTCAGGTAGCCTCCGGTAATACATTGTATTACAATTTACTGAGATTTTCCAAAACTCGGTCTTCATTCGGCTCCGCCTACTAACAGTCCTATTTGGGTGCCTAATTTTGAAGATTCCAGATCAACATTAGTCAATGTTATCTTACAGAAACATCAGACTGTATTACGAAGCAAGTGATTTATTTCAAAATTTGATCAGAACATTGAAAGCAAAAAGTGATAAAGCTAAATCGGAAACGAAGCCGAGATTTTAAAAAGGGCCATCAATGTCGTCATGTTTATTTTTAGCCACGGAGGCTGCCTGACCTACAATTTAGACCTGAGCGTCGGGAATAATTGTCAGGTCTGGGAACCAGACTAACTACACCGGTACATCTGCGTTGTGCGCTACATCACACAGTACGCGCGACGCGCGCGTCAATCTCCATATAAGGAGTTGTTTACCAGAGGGCCTTACCATTGTTGCCAGAGGGGTGTTTTGTTGATCGAAATCGTTGAAAGTATATAATGTTTGACTTGTTTTGAATTTTGGTCCTAACAGTTTTTCTGCTCGGGTAATTATCAGCATCCAGACTCCAACCGGTCTTAAACATAGTGTTTAAAACCTCCGAAGCACACATTTATTCCCTTATTCAAGTAGCAAGCGCCTGCGCGTGGAGCCTCTCTTTAAGCTTATTTGTGCAAAGGTCTGACGTCATCACAGGAAATGAACCAGATTAGTGTGCGCCGGTGTGGGATAAAGCGCACAAATTCAATTTGAAATCTAAACACCAGAAATAGACCAAAGGGATGCCGGTGATGTACCAACCGTACATCAAGATCCTCCGTATACCTGAACGTGAGTCCTTTCATCATCTGAGCATACGACATCCAGTCTTAAATCTTTGCTACCTGTATATCTTATGTTCTAGTTTATCAGCCTCCTTCCTGTTACCAATTTTAATGAGAAACGCTTTGTCAAAGCGTGTCTTTAGAAATCGCAAATAAATTAAACACCAACCAAAGGTAAAAATTAAATTTTACATTAATAAGAACCTACTCAGGATATAGTTTTGTTTCATAATTATCTTAGATAATTTTTTTTTTTACAGCTCGAACCGTACATCCTCTGAATTGTGAAGCCTTTACCTTTTATGAAAACGACCTTTTCCGTGGTAGCAAAAAGCTTGTTTAGTCATGGCGCGATATTAGATTTAAAATCTTGCTTACACAATATGGCGGCCATAAAATTGACTGCGCGGCGCGGCGGTGTAAAGGCACGCGCACGAAAGCCGCCTGGAAGCGGTAATGTATTAGACTACGTATCAAATTACAGGATATTAAGGCTGATTGGTGCAGCTAGTGTCATTGCCCTCACCTGCTACGCAGCGCACACTGAGCGCAGTTGGTCGAAATTGCTGGCTCGAGCGTCTTGGTGTGAAGGCTAGTGGCATCACCATCACTCATGTTCGCTAAAAATGACCCCTCACTGCTTTCGAAATTGGAGGTGCATAACATAGGGCATGTACATCGGAATTGTTGGTATGCAGTCTCTTGAATGCCTTAATCCCTTGAGGATTTGCTGCACCAGGTATATATAGCGCAAAACCAGGTCGTGAAAAGACGTACAAGTGTGGAGCTATAAAGTTTATTTTATTTTTCAGAACTGGAAAAAAAACCTTGACGAGTTTCGAACCGCTGTTTGTCTTAACATTAAATCCATTGTAACTTGTGATTTATTTCCTTTATGTAGGCATATTGCTTCTGATCGGGGAGGTTTGAGATCACTACGACCCTCTAATGGTCTTGTGCTGCAGCAGTAATAATATTGTACTATACACATGCCCAGATATCTTCACTCTTTAAAGAGATGGCCTACTTTTAACACTAACACTGCTTATGCAAGATGTCCTTATACGTTATCTCGAAACCTTACTTGTGTTTTACACGGTTTTGTAATATTGGTTTCAATATCCAAAGTACATTGCACAAGATACAATTTCTTAATATATATTTTCGTCCCACAACCATAGCTATGCTGACTAGAATTCCAAGCAACGCCATCTTATCTGAGCGTAGGATTAACTGCCTCATCCTCCAGGCTAGAGAAGGCACTCGTCTACTCTGGCCAGGGATTTAGTTGTAATTTTCTTTTCATTGGTTACTCGAAAGCCCCTTACCCCACACTCTCACGGTCATTCAAATGCAAGCTGAAATGCAAGTACATTTAAATTGCAGACACGATTGCAAACAACCGGACGTATCTCACTGCAAATTCAAGTAAGGCTATCAAGGAGTTCATTTACCGAAAATACTCCACGCAAGGGAGTTAATTGATTTGGTTTATTTATCAGCAACATCCAGCTGTAAAAAAGGATGAACTGTAAAAAAAAAGAAAAAAAAAAAGAAAAACCCTGCCTTTCAAATGTACCGCGTGTTGTTTAAAAATGTATGTAAAGTTAATGCTATTGCGAGGAATACGAAGAAAAGCACATGAAAATACAATACCCCCTTTGCGGTTTTTTTTAAATGAAAATGTTCAAGCTATAATACGTAAAGAAACGTTGCTTTAAACACGATTTAAAAAAGAAATCAAACAAAAAATCACCACATTTATTGAAATACATAATATCGTATCTCATGCCGACTTGATTTATATTGAATTTAAATTATGGGGAAAACACTGAACGCCGACCATTTTTGCCAATTGTTGCATTTTAATCTCTCGACAGCTCTCGACTATTATGAGACAAAGCTAAAACAGCTCCTCGCCTCATTGAATTTCTGGACTCGAAATGGATGGTAGCTGGACCTACGTGTGATGACGCATGCATGCAACCTATGTCTATCGATCGTATGGATGTGTTTTGGTGCGTTGTTCATTGACGCCATTGTGTGTCCATGGGAAGCTAGTTCACGGTCATAACTCTCCTTGTCCAGAGTTGTAGATTGGGTATTGCGCCCTCTGTTGGGATTAAGTTCCGAAATTAGGTACACGGTTGGCAGAAATATCTATTACTTCTTGGAGTCGACTTGCATCAGTAGATGAGCAGTTGAATTGAGAACCATCCTAGTTATTCATGCTAGAGCGTTTGTTTTATACAATCCTTTTCCCCATTTTTCTTTCTTTTATTATTGTATTGCATTTTAATTTTAATTTTTGATTAACGAAATTAGCGATAACACGAAGTGTTTCCAATAGGATCCATAAACAAATTCTTTGCATTGCGACCGTGCGCTTAACAATGCATAGCGCGCGTCCACGCGGAAACCGTATACATTGTTATACATTGTATACAATTGTATACATTGTGACGCGAGGCGTGCACAGACCGAATTTAAGTTAGATCACAGTTCGGCAGCAGAGCGAGGGGTTTGGCAGGACTGTGAGTCTGTCGCGATATCGGGAAAGCTTGTTGAAGCTTTCGAGGGTTGTGGACTGTACTATAGGACGCTGTGACAAGCATAGGCAGGAAGTAAGTGAATTGTTGTTCCTTCAAAAAGATGGGAACTTGATGATAAATAAGTGAAATTCCTTTTGTTGTTGTTGATTGATTGCCAGTTTATAATCTTTCTCGCGTCATGCGTCTGTTCGTACGTTTGGTTCTTGCGCTTCAAAGTCGCTAAGAGTAAGCCTTTTGCTTCGGTGGATATGATTAGTGAAACCACAGGACACACAATTCATACTACATGTACATGTATAATTGCAGATAATTTTGAAAATGTTGTGCCTACCGTGCTGCTGAAATAAAACAAAATTTTCCGGACTTCATTTGTTAATTTTTACACAGTAAATACCAATCTCATTAAGCCACTGTGTCCAATTAATGTTTTCTTAGCACATACGCCCAAGTTGACTTTATCATGTATGAATATCAAACAAGATTTCACTCATTGGATTTTCGGCTCTACATTTACCATGTGGAGATTATTCGAGTGTGATGTTATTTTTGCATTATAAGCTGGCCTTACTCAACTGTAGCTCAACACTGCTATTTTAGAAGTATACCCCAAAGCTCGAGTTCTCGAAAATAATTAACTACTGATTGTCTTTTTTACTTAAAACCCCAGAACATCCTTCAATGCTAATTTTTTTTTTGAATATTTGAACGTATGTTGTTAAGAGAGCATTGTATAGTTGAGTAAACAACTTACCGTAAATCATTTTCGGCTGCTTAAATGTAAAGAAGTTCGGAAAAAAATATTGTTAAGAAATTGTGGTAGTTGCTGATTTGCCCAATGTAAACAAGACGAGTTAAATTTCTTCGTTGTGATATGAGACTCAACACGTCGATTGAGGCCCGAGTATCGTGTTTCTTTGCAGTTACTGCAAATATAATATGCCGTTAATATCTTTATAATATCGTATACAAAGCTTCAGATTGCTTCCACGTCCTTCAACGACGTGTAACTGCACTTTCGTTATCGGATGTTAGAAATCCAACACAGCGAGTATTTAGCCAAGCAGAAACCGATAGCCTTGTCAGTTTATTATGAAAACACAGGATCGGTGAGATCACCATCACCTATGGTGAAGTTCTGGTCAGCAATGTGCGAAAATTGTCTCAAATTCTCCATTCAAGCTGACCTGAGGGCAGTCTTCTTCTGTGCCGTCCTCACGGTCAATTTCATTTTGCCAACTTCGTTGCCAGTCACATTACGTCCCATCGAGTATTAATGTCGTGCTTCGTTAGACTCCAATTATCAGTGTTGATCTGCGTAAAGCTCTTTTTACCAGAGAAGCCACTCCAAGAGCAGGCCGTGCAATCACTGGACGTTTTTAAGATCAGTTCTGTGAAATTTGTGCCCAACTTTATCCTGATATCTGGTTGTATATTTTGCATCAACGAAATTAGATTTTAAAGATGTTTGCAAAGAATATCTCATCTTTGACGGTTTTGCCACAAACTCTGTGCATCATTTTCCTAAACTTAGTGAGCTAAGTGGTTTATTTTGTAGTCCACTTTGCCCAATCGGCATGAATTTCAAACAATTTAAAACAAATCTAACTGTTCCTCTTGCACAAATTTTGGATAATTCGAAGCTGTTGTTCACGTCGTCAACTGATATTACCTCGCTGAGCAGGATTTCTTGGTCTCACAGACTTAACTTTCCATTTAAAGTCCCTTCTTTTATCCTCTCTGTTGGGATAAAAGTACATTGCTTGACATGCATTTCAAAACGAAATTCATGCGCATAATAAATTGCAATATTAAGTTAAAAATATGGCAAAAATATGTTGTGCACGAATGTACATAGTTGTGATAATTGAGTAAATAAAAATGAAAATCCCTCGTGCATTAGTTTGTGCATGAGGGATTTATCCTGAAATCAAGACACCCTTTGGCTCTATAACCACCGAAGAAGAGTTCTCCTTTACTCCTGGGTGTTTAAAGAATCAAACCAAATTTCCCTCAAACGCCAACGTGCTATTTGCTCGCGGCTTTGACGAGATAATTATTCCCTTTCCGACGAGCAATCTTGCAGAATTGTCAATCTTTTTTTCCACGGAGTCCCCTGCTCATGCGACGAGGCCGAGTTGACAGCTTAATCTCACAGACGGCCCTCTGGAGGGTCCAGCAACCGCCAAAATCAACCTCGTGCCAAATCTGAGTAAACACTGAGAACGGGACCATCCACTCCAGGGACAATCTCAGTCAAATTGCCTCGATCTCCATATTTCAGTCTGATTGCGCTCACTCACAAAATACGTGGATTGCAAAACGAACATGGCGGTAATGATATCGGCAGTTGGAGAGAGGATCTTTCGATGTCGTTGACATGGGTAGTGGCTTTATCTCTCAGATTTTGTATTGAACAGATAAGAAGATGCATGATCAAACCGGTCCTCAAATCAACATTATAATCAAAGTAGTGACATTAAAAAAAAAAATAAAAAAACACGCAATGGAGGGTATAGTAGCAATTACTGCCGAGAACTATGAAACGCGGACTTGAACATCGCCCCCTAGAGTCGGATGGTGGGGTATGAACCTTGAGGAAGTATAGTAGTTCGATGCTGAATGCCGTTTGGGATGAGGTAGGCACACAGACAGCGTGCAGACAGCGTGCAGCATGCAATGCACATTATGTTTTCACATCTACCTCCAGTTAATCTACACGTTAGATTGCGATGGCTTATATTCGTTTTGAGCACGTACCCTTAGTCCTGACAATACCATTTATTCACAGCGCCAAGAATCTCTCCGTTTGATCATTGTGCTGTTAAGCATATCGTATCTAATTGCAGCCAGTCAGACGAAACAGTTGTGCATGGTAGGTCAGACACGGATTGGAGGTGGCTTTTAAGGAAGACGAAGACTTCTTCCCCGCATAAAGTTCGAAAATAGCAGAAGGAAATGAAAAAGTCGTCAAAAGTAGTCATTAAGGTCTTTTTTACATTCCTTCAACCGTGGCCAATGAAGATATGCAAATGTATAGCCGCTTCTTATACCCAGTGTCACAAGAGCATAACAATATGATGGCCGTTGACTGGCAATAATTGTGGCTATTTTTTTGTAGCCTGGGGCAACAAGCGAGCGTTCGACCACTGTCCTATCGAGCACCGAACGAATATCCCTTTTTCAACTTGATTAAACGTGTAAATAGATCTGCGAGACCTTTAAGTGTCGAGTGAAGACATTCTTCTTCTTTTGTTTTTGGTATCGTCCTGTCGCCAGAAGCGACAGGGACGCGAGTAGTGCTCGTCTTGTTTGTTAGTGGCGAGTATTGAGGGACTTGTCAAAAACAATACGATGATTCCCTGAGTGGTTGAGCTCTGATGAAAATACAGTCTGATGTTTCACCGTCTTTTACATGGACGCATTTAATTCCATCGCAATTTCAGACTAAGGTCAGGAAGCAACCTAAGTTGCGCGTAGAATGTAATAACATCTTGGAAATGAGAGGTACATGGTTTCGACAAAGTTTCATGTGTTTGACAAGATCTTGTACCCAAGCACGAACATGTTCACCAATTTCGTTTACAACATTCCATACAGTTGCGGTGTGAAGAAACTAATACATATAACAGGCTTTAAGTCAGAATACTTCTATTACAACGAGAACGAGGTGGATTGGTTCGTGATTTCGCTAATTTCGAAGGAAGGGCAAGAACCTGTCCAAAAGTAAGAACACATATCTCGGTGGTTCCTACATCCCTGTTATAGCATACTAGTTTCTTTCACTCTATCGGTGTTTTACCTTGATTTTTTTTACTGCAGTGGGGCTACTTTTGTACAGAGACCATTTCCCTTAACATCGCCTTCCCCTGAAAAATCTGAATATTGTAACAAGGTGGGTAAAATATTCGAATAAACTGAGGATAAGATGAGATGGCAGTTTGGAATAATAAAAAGAACCTACTCGCGTCTTGAGGCATCCCAAGTTATGCCGGCAACGTTGTTATACACGACCCAATGTCGTTTAATGGTAACACCCAATCAAATTATCTCTATTGCTTACTAATTGCTGGAGAACGTGTCGTCACTCCATTGCTCACGAACTGGCTTATTAACATACCAAAGAAAATAAGCTAAAAGTAAAAGTAACTGACAGTGATGCATGGATTCTTGGCCACTATTTACAAACTAATACAAAGGAATAGGTAAATGATCTTTTCATTAAAGCGGCATTGATTGTGTGCCCATTTTACTCTACTTATGCATCTGCTGATGCTATACGTTACTGATTTATGCAAATTGCCACTGCCATGCTTTTGACAGTAACCAGGATTCGCGCCATTGATATGCAGCCTTTGCAGGTTGGTTAAAAAGTACTGATTCGTTTCTCATCGACAGAACGTGAGTGTGTGCAGTGATACATCACGTAGTGCTAGCGACGCCACACACGCAGGAGCAAACCTGAGACATCATCGCCTGAAGCTGACTAATTGAGTGGACGTCGTTTGCAGTCGTTCCTTGCTTGTGACTTCATGGTAAGTCTTTGATGCGAATCTGAAAACTTAAATACAAATAGTCGTAGCTTTAGCGAAAAGCTCAGTGAACATTTGTTTTGTTGTGGATTTGATCTGAATTGGTATATTGTTTGTGCAGTAATTTAGCAAGACTTCAGGCCGACTTCTACATTTTGATTTGAGCTCCTTCAAGCTCTGAAGGAAACTTCTAAGTTGATGTTATTCTGACTTTCTTTAATCTTAGGTTTCATGACACATACATTCAGAACGTTGGTTATGTTGTGATATGAGGTGTCGACATCCTGAGATAATGTTATCACGAGATAATGAAACCGGGAGCAATAAGGAAAGTTAGATTCGGAAAATATTTACTTCGAGACGAGGAATAGGAGCGACCGAAAAGGTGTAAGGGCTGGCGACATTTTCGCGCAGCTAGGACAAAATGTTAGAACTAAAATCGATAAATTAAAAAAAAAACACTTTGAAGAGACGTGCGACATTCTATTTTAGCGATGCTATTCCGTGGCAAATTGCCACTGAAAACTACATCTTTTCGGGATGTTGTCAAAGCCTTGACGAATTACTGCGGAGAGGTGACATCCTACTTTCAGGATGTTGTCACCAAAAGACATTTTTTGTTTCCATCCTCTGATACGAACCTTTACGGAAAAACGGCGTCATAGTCTTAAGATTTCATCCCGTGACAAATTATGTGTAACCCGTCATCGCGAACTGGCTGAAGTCGCGATTAACAAAACAATGTTCTCCAGGGGCAGGGAGGATAGTTCTTTGATAGCTGATCGGGCTACCCAGGTTGTAAGACGACATAACATAAAAATATGAATTAAAGCTCTAGAACATTATTATATACTCTGACAGGTGCAATGAGAGCAAACAAAGAATGCTGACTCTCGAAGTTGATTGTCTATATCCACCAAGTTTCAGTGGATCTTGCCTAGTTTGAAATACTAAAACGGCAGGATAATGGTGCAAAATTCAAACCCAACCAAACCGGCTCGGTTTTGGGATTGTTGATCGCTTATGAAGTTTGGGTGAGGCTGTCAACGACATGAAAGACACCTCAGCTTCCTCAAGACCTCCTTAGATTTCAAGATGGCGGATAAAACCCCTTCCCCTATATCCCAGTCTTAGATCGGTAACATACCGTCACTATCACTCCGCCCGTGCTCAACGAAGCATCATTATGGCAGCCACTATACGCGCACCATCACGCGGCAGCTGCAGTCACTTCCAACTGCCATGTCGTTTCAGTTAACGTTCTCTAACTCTTTATAGAAGCCTTCAATACGAAACGAAATCCATATTATTGAAAAAGCAGGACCCACAGTGCATATTCTTAAGATTTTGAACTAAGGAAAGCAAAAACAATATATGCCTCAACCCAGAAAAATAAACAGATTAAGCAGCCACCAGTGTAAATCACATGTTACAGTGAGTGAGTGAGATAAGTAACCAGTCTTATAATCATAAGTGACATTCATTCAGTCAGTAAGATAGATATGAGAGGAGACCGTCCTCTGTGACTTACAAAAACCTACAGTGCGCATGTTAACGAACACAACATTATCTGTCATTCTTGTGCTTGGCGTACTCGATCCAAGTTTGGTTTATAAGAAATGGCGAGTTCTCTGCGAACGGTTCCCCTCCCAGGCCCCCAAACTTCCCAATCGCTACTTTCCCCCGTTTTGCTCCTAATTCAACTCTACGAAATGCGTACACGTGCCGTCCATTAAAGCACACAAAAGAAAGAAAGAGATACATCCTGACTGACCGAGGGATAAGTGGAGACGTGCCTGATGAGTATGTGGTGGTACTTTTCCGATGCAAAAACCCATTTAACTCCTGAATTGCAGAAAAGAAAAAATGTTAGCAGGTGAAACTAGTCGCTTCAAAGCGGGATTTATTCAGCTCCAAATTGAAGAGAGTAATTGACTTTTTTATCGGAGAGGGGCTTCATTACATAGAGTCAGAAAAAAATGATTACATTTGACAAGATGGTGGTTGCCCTAACTATATTCAATTATTCAACAGCAGTGTTATTACTTTTTATGTCGTAACGACTGTTTTCACAGATAATTGTAGCATGTATGTGTAGATGATTTTTATTCGTATTTTGCCATAGGCAACCATTATTACAAAGCCCAAGTTTTTATTTCCATGTTCCATGTTAATGAGGCTCGTACGTGCAGTAGAATGTCATGCCGTTTTCATCACATTCATGAATTGGACATACCCATAGACATTAAAACAAATTCAAATGTGAAGTTCATGAAATAGATATCAATTTTCGCAGTACATAGACTCAATTTGTTTTGACCATCCCTCTGTGTTCTCAAGTATTTAGTCTGGCGTCCGCTGTAGGTAACATAAGCTTAACTCTCGCCCCTTGTCTAAGTGCACGCTGTCGACAACGCAATGAACTAATGCGTTGACTGCTCCATTAAAGCAGAGAAGTCTCGGATTTCGGGTATAGTTTTTCCTGTGGCACCTGAAGGAGGGCATGTTGTGCATCCCTGCACACCAGTGAACATGATATTCTCATCCGGGGTAATAACTGTGAGTTTGCGCAGTGACGGGCACCATTAAGAGAAATGAGTTGTAAAAGGCATGTGATAGTCACACACAAAAGCTTCCTTCAAAGGCGCAAATCCTGATTCCCCCATAATGCATCATGTGAAAAAGTCGACTTCCGTTTGAAGACATTTTGCACGAGGGTAGAGGACAAAGCATCCTCCACATATCGTTTTCTTTATATAAAGGCGGGAACCTTCCGATTTTTTGATCAATGAAGTTGTTCGCCACAAATAAGGACATCATTTATTTAATCTGACTTCATACAAAAATGCGAGCAATTATTGCTTCGTTTTTTTAGGAAAAATGTTCTCACTGGTGTCTTTTGCGTACTAATACAGCGTATGTGGCAACTCTGTGACGCCAACTTCAGATCAATAGGAGCGATATGCGAGTATGAAAATACTAGATCGTCCACCATGCTCGGTAACGCTTCATGCCCAAGTGCTTCAATATTTTGCCTGACGAAAGTATCGGCATTTCCGGGATTCATCAATCAAAGCGAGTGATTTAAACGTTCCCCGGACTAACCAACCCTGCACACAACTGACTCACTCGCCATGTTTTCAAACGCATTAGGCAATGAGAACGTTAAAGTCTTGCACACGACCAACCTCCACACGTGCCGTTGTTCTGGTAACGGAATTTGGCTTGTGGACATACCATAAATGTCAGTTTGGCTTCGACAATAGTTGCGCAAATCTATAAATGCAGCTCGGCGGTGACCGAGAGACCACGAGTCGCCTTGCCATTTCCTATCGCCCCGTCCAAAAAGATATTGCCGTGTGTTCAACTGTAGAAAGCGTTACCTTATTCGGATAGGGTGCTGAGGCAGTAAACGAAGTGGGGCAAATCATCCGCAATTTTGGTGTTTACCCCAAGCAATTGTTTATCGTCTCTTAATTCAAATTTCACAGAGAGACAAATAGGCCTAATTATAACTTGATTAGAAGTGAACTGTCCCATTATAATTATATGTACTTTGTAGCCGTAACCGGACTATTTCAATTCTGATTTTATCCTTCCACGTCATAATATTATTAAAAATGTATGTGAGCTTTTTTTCATAATTTTGCAAGGAAGAAAAATCGCACCTTCTTATGACCAGTGTCTGCGACCTGATGCCTAGTCTGAGTGCAAACGTCTTACCACTCACACCTTTTCTACATAATATCGATTTGGCTTTTTTAACATTTGGGGGAAACAAATGTGCCCTATACGTAAACAAGGTGTGACGAAAAATTATCAAAGATAATTTAGTTTTTCTGAGTAGACCGGGCAACACTCTGCATGTCCTGACGTGGATCTTACTTTTAAAAGCTTTCCATGGGCCTACTAGTCCAACAGATTACGATCTATTCTAATCTTTTCTGTCTGTTCGCTTTAGGGTATTTTTCCTTTTTAAGTTAAAATATATTCAGTATCTCCAGACAGAATAGCGTCAACTCGCGTGAATATTAATTTGTTTTCAAGTATTCTCCATGTTGCCATCAATAGACCCCTTGCATGTGACCTCACTTATGAGGACAGTCGTCCTCTGTGAAAGGCACGGGTAGATAGTTTGTGCTTTCTTGCGGTTGAAATTAACCAAAATTTCCCACAGCGAAGGCCTTTCGTGAAAACGGTCTATTTATGCCACATACTTTATTGTGCATTCCAGTCTAAACAAACCATCAAAGATATTGTTGAGATTTTTGTACTTGTGTTCCGGGCATAACGTAAAATACAGCCATTGCGAAAAAGAAAAGCCAGCACTTAGGTAATCTACTCGGCTTGTGTGCAAGAAAGGGTCAGTCTCCATCTTAAGACAGAATGAAACAATTGAGTTTTACTTAAACCCACTCTTGAGAAATTCCAATGGAATCATTGGCTAGCCTTGAATACCCTATTGGAAGCAGGGTGTGGAGTTTTGGACGGTGTTTGCTCGTACGGTGATAATTTCTGTTATATGTGAACTGACGTTACAAAGGGCAGTTTGCCTGCTGTGGTGTTTTTGAATTGAAATATATAATTGCTATGGAATGCACCGAACACCAGATCTTCTGCGAGTGGTTCAGTTCGGTGCCGTATGTTTTATGCCATTTCACCATCCTTGAAACTTGTGTCCCCTTCACACGCGTTTACTCGAAGTCTTCCCAATCTATGGATCTACCGGTCTGCCTTTTTTCTTAAACGAACGCTTAACCGATCTTACTTTAATCTTATAATTTAATCTCTTTAATGGTCACCGAAATGCTTTTCAGGATGCCTCTGAGAGGAAAACTTAGTAAGTCCCCTGAGTACCTTGAATACTCGTTTTCAAATATTTGGCGTTCCAGATAAAAACAAAGACTGGAACTGAAAGAATATTGATGGATCGGATAAGAAGCTTTACTGGCTTAGGCCAGTATTAAATGTCACAAGTCTGTTTGCATTGCAAGGCTTTTTGT